CTCAGCCTGTCCCCATAGCAGAGGTGCTCCAGCCCTCTGAGCATCTTCGTGGCCTCCTCTGGACTCACTCCAACCAGTTGATACCCTTCTGATGTTGGGGGGTCCACAGCTGGATGCAGTACTGCAGGTGGGGTCTCACAAGAGCAGACTAGAGGGGGAGAATCATCTCCCGTGACCTCCTGGCCACACTTCTCCTGATTCAGCCCAGAACACGATCCTTCAAATATTTTTTACATAGACAGTACAAAACCACCTATCGTTGGCAACAATTTTCCCAACACCATTATTAAGGGATTATCTCATCCTCATCAATTATTATGACATCTCAGATGAGTGAAAATAGAATGGCTTTACTACCTGTGGAATGTTTTTTACACTTACATTGCTGCTTTGCAATGCAATAGGGGAAAATACTTTTGGGTTCGGGTTTTTTTTTTTGTCGTCAGCACAAACTCCTTAAAGCCAGATGTTCTCTTACCTCCTTAGTATGTCATGCAATGCACAAAGCCAGGGAATCCTGTCCTAGAAAGAAAACAAGTGAGTTCAAAATTGATCTGAAACAATTGCTTCTAACATCTAGAGGATTTGACTACAGATGAAAGTTGGCATTAAACTGTACAGCAAGTTGAGTTTTAACTCTCTTTCTTACTAGTGTAGATTTCCTGCCATTGCCTGAAGACTAACAGGGAGTGCTGGGCATATTATCAGTTAGATGTTTTTAGTGGAATAGTACTTTTTTTATTACAAATACCTACAAGCATCTGATGGAAGTAATACGTATTGACGTATCTGATGCACCTTGTAAACCTGTGAAGGACAGTCAACGTCTGTCTTGCTTCTGTTACACAGTTCAAATGTACAGCCTGAACTGTTATTTCTTCTTCCTTGTGTCTTGGCATACACACACAATGCTTTGGTTCAAAGTTGAGGTTTTCGGGAAGAGAGAGATATAAATTTAGGTTAATGGCAATAACTTAATTAAGTAATTTTTATGCCAGTAACAATCCCAAATAAATGTAATCATAGCCACAATTTTGCAAGACCTTTGCTCAGTACTTAGGCAAACGCATGTGAATGATTGATCAGCTTGTCATTATAATATAATTTTAAATCCCCAGTTCCCACAAACTTTTCTCATACGTGTTGGGCACTAAACAATGGCTCCCATTTAATCTTTCAGTGCTGTTACTGCTAGGTGACCTCAACAAATTATAACTTCCCATGGGCCTTTAAGGACGCCCTCGGAATTTCGCACCTCTGGTGATTCAGAAGACGTGCTTCCCTCTTGCTGGGCACCCGACACAAATGGTTCAATTACGCAATGCTGCTTTAGACAACATACTGGCTTATACACACTTCCAACCACTAGCAAAAGATTCAAGTTTTTGACAAGAATCTAGACTATTCAGAATTCACTTGTAGAAAGTGCTTTGGAGAACTCCCCAGTTTAGCTTTATGTTTGTAGAGTTTTCACAGAAAAAAATTCAAGAGGTGTCATCTTGTAACCTTTCCAATTTACCCAAGCCTCTGAATTCGGAGGTACTGTACTGCTAAACTTAGTCGGTTTTATCTGTTTAAGCTGAAGAACAGGCTGACGGGAAGGAAGCACCTTTTAAGTAGGAGCGGATAAACCAGAAGACTGTGGAGTAACTGCTGCAGTAACCGAAGGTGATGAAATGTACTTCAGTGGAGACATCTGCCCGTCTGTATTTCACTCCAAAGCGGCGGCATGCGATCTAAAGCCGCGGGGGGAGAGATTTCTGACAGATGCTGAATGGGCATCAAACCCCTCGTGAGCCACCAAGCACGCTTTGTTTGGTAAAACTGTGGGGTTTTTTAAATGCAGAATCCTTTGCTGCCCGAAAAGCATCCCTCTCTTCCCAGCCGCAGACCCACACCTTCAGCCTGTGCTGTCACCCTCGTCTACCACCGTGTGAGAGAGGTTACGGAGACGCATGCACCGGCGACCCACCGACTGTTCTGTCACGGTTTACACGAGGTACCTCATCGTTCAGCGGTGTTCCCTCAGCCATCTTCCTTTTATTCTCTGGAGGATGATAATCGTCTGCGTCGTAGAATTTCCATCCCAGCTAAGGAAAAAAAAAAAGCACAAGCCCGGAGTAAAATTTCGGGTCGTTCAGCGAGGGTTGCGGCGCCAGCTCGGC